AGTACGCGTATTAAATCGTCGCCAAGCTCATTGGAGCATGTCTTTATCAAGATTTGAGTTCATCATCACTTATCGGCCAGGAAAACAACAAGGTTTGTCCGATGCCTTGTGTAGACGTTCTTATCTTGCACCAAAAGAAGGAGATGCAGCTTTTGAGCAACAAAGAACAGTTCTATTGAAGCCGGAGCAATTTCATCTTCGAGCAATAAAATCAACATTGACTGTTGATTTAACTTTTCTTAAGTAAGTCTAGTTAAGTATGTCTTTAGACCCTCTTATTCATGTTATCAAGAATAATTCTTCTAAATCTTATGATCCCTCTAAATTTGAATTCAAGAACAACCTACTCTATTTCGAAGGACGCCTATATGTTCTAGAAGGAGAAGCACGTTTACGTGTTCTTCAAGCTCGTCACGACTTCCCAGCAGCAGGACATTTTGGATATAATAAGACTTTAGAGCTGATATCTAGGGATTTTTGGTGGCCTCAAATGTTGAAGACAGTTAAAGACTTTGTACAATCATGTGATATTTGCTCAAGATCAAAAACTCTTCGTCATCAACCTTTTGGATTTCTTCAGCCATTACCCATTCTAGAACTACCATGGTCTTCTGTTTCTATGGACTTCATCACGGATCTTCCAATCTCAGGTTCTTATGATTCTATATTCGTGATAGTAGATCGTTTTACCAAGATGGCACATTTTGTACCATGTACAAAATCTATCACAAGTGAAGAAACAGCTAAACTCTTTCTTGACAATATCTATCGCTATCATGGATTATCCAAGGATATTATATCAAATAAGAGAACTCAATTTATATCAAGATTTTGGTGGACTCTTTTCAAGATTCTTAAAGTGGATATAAAACTATCTTCGGCATTCCATCCTCAAACTGATGGACAAACGGAGCGTGTTAATCAAGTTTTGGAGCAATATTTAAGATGTACCATTAATTACCAATAAGATGATTGGACAACTCTTTTGCCATTGGTAGAGTTTGCTTATAATAACATGGTACATTCTTCTACAAAACAAACACCTTTCTTTGCTAATTATGGTTATCATCTACGACTTGATACTTTTGACTTTTCAAAAGTTAATAATCCATCTGCAAAAGATTTAGCAATTCATTTATCAAAGCTACATGCAACGATGAAGGTGCAGTTAAAAGAGGCTCAAGAACAACAAAAGGTCAATGCGAATGTCTATCGAAAGGAACAACCATCATTCATCTTGGGTGATAAGGTATGGCTACTTCGTCGCAATATCAAGACCACTCGTCCTTGTGACAAGTTGGACTATCGAAGGCTAGGACCATTTTCTATTTCTACACAAATCAGTCAAATTGCATATCGTTTACATCTGCCAGAGTCAATGAAAATACTTCCTGTATTCCACGTATCTCTTCTTGAACTATACAAGACAGTGGACATACCAAGAAGATGACAAGCTCCACCTCCTCCTATAGAAGTGGACAATAATGAAGAGTTTGAAGTAGAAGAAGTCTTAGATTCAAGGCGACGCTGAAATAAATTAGAATATCTTATTGATTGGCACGGATATGGTATTAGTGAATGTACATAGGAGCCAATAAAGAATCTTGTAAATGCAGCAAAGGCGGTGGAGGCTTTTCATCGACGACATCCATCAAAATCAAGATGAAAACCTTCTTTATAAAAGAAACAACATCTAGGCAAGATAACATTCTACTTTCAATTCTTGTTCGTAGCTTCTTTGTAGTAGTGACACTCAGGAGATGGAGAACTAATAACCAGCAGATTCGACTCAAGAGCCTTCATTTGTTGACCTGTCGGATGAGACATTATAATTGTCACATCTTTCAAGACGACGTAATCGAGAAGAAGATCTTCAAGAATGACATGTTCTTCCTCAAATAGATGGCAAGATACAACGCGTTTGATATCATGATTTGGGAAGGGACTCCCGATGTTTGATGATTGTGCTTGAAGTAGGAACAACTCCTAATGGTGTTGCAAATATTCTATTCGAAGGAAGTTACGAAGGCCTCAACAATGATCAAATAACTAAGTGGTCTTCCCGCCCTGGTATGGGACACTATCGATGGTTGAAAGGCCCTATCAATCATCTTCGAAGAGAACAAAGGTCAGAGTATGTGGCGAATACAATTCGTCGCATCATAGATTTCTTCAACATATGATGACCACTCCTCGTGGAGCTCGTCCCTAGAAAGGGGGTAATGTCACGGATATAATCATGTAAGCTAGTAATTACATATACAAATAGGTAGAAGTAAGTAAAAGTAGGTAAAAGTAAGTAAATTCTATAGTATTTAATATGAAAGCTTCCTAGAAGCTTCATAGATGCTGCTTTGACTTCATAGGTGTCTTTAATTGACTTTTTGGATTAGAAACGTGGTCATCAAGTTGGCTATGTGCCACACATGTTATTAGCTTGAAGATCAAGCTAACTATGTGGCCCACACGTAGAAAAACTTGCCTTGTAAGACAAGGCATGTATTCTATAAAGTCAACACATATTGGAGGTCCTATAGAACGTCGCCACATAGGCGCTAGTTAGATAGTATATATAGAGAGAAGAGTGAAGGCTTCTTCACTCTTGTCAACTCCTTTCTTGCTTCCAATCTAGTTTCAAGGGTCTCTAGTTTTCTTGTCTTTTGGCAATAGCCATTCCAGTTTCTCTTTCAATATACATACTTGTTTATTTATATTTTGTTACCTTTCTTTGAGTGAAGGCTCACTTGTCTGAATTATTTTTTCATCGAGTTCTTGTCCTTGACAATTCCCAAGTTTTCTTAGGTCCTTGTAAGATTTTCAAGTTCCCATAAGTTTTTTTTAAGTTCTTGTTTGTTTTTTGAATTTCCAATGATTCCTATACATTCTTTTTGTGTTCCAAAGTTCCCATTTTTTTTTGTGAGTATTATAAGTTCCATAAGTTCTATGAGTTCCATAAATTCCATAAGTTCCATAATTTCTATGAGTTCCATAAGTTCCATAATTTCTACGAGTTCTATAAGTTCCATAATTTCTATGAGTTCCATAAGTTCCATTATTTCTACGAGTTCTATAAGTTCCATAATTTCTATGAGTTCCATAAGTTCTATGAATTCCAATAGGGCTTTGTACATTCCATTGGATTTTTGTACATTCACCAAGTTCTAGTTAATTCCCATGGATTTCTTATCTCCTCCTTGCATGGAATCATGTACTTGAAGTAGATGAGAATCAACTCTAAACCAAAATTTTTTAGAACTTGTGCTACAATCAATTGACTAGGTTTGAGATGCATAAAGACTTCTCAGCATTGAAAGATATATACTTGGAATAATTGATGATATTATTAATTTTAAAAATGGCCAAAATTCCATTGCAATTGTCAAATGTACCACAAAAAAGGTGTAAAATTTTAATATATGATTTCTAAGTCAAAAATTGATGGTTCTTAAAGAAACGTTAACCAAAAAGAAAAAAAGAAAAAAAAAGAAATAGTATTTATATATAAATAAAACCATTTATGTTTTATAATATAATTGAAAAATATTATTTCTATTTATTTCAATTTAAATGACCGAATTAAAAGAACTTTGACATAAATTATATTTACAATTATATTTTTATCTTTATTATTTTTAGGCTATAAGATCTTGACAATATTTGGAGAAGTAGGAACTCATGGTATTAAGCATAGAAATGTGTTTATGTGTGTTCTTTTGAGTTTCTATAGATTTCTGTGCATTCTTCTAAGTTCCTTGAGTTGCCATGCATTCCCTTGCATTCCTTGAGTTCCCATAGGTTCTTGTGCATTTTCTAAGCTTTTGGTAAATATAACTAACTACTTCTAAAATTTATTGGTACTATGGCTGATTTTCTTAACTATCTTTGTATCTCCAAAATTACTTATTGTTTGTTTGGGAGTGAATGAATGGATGACAAGTAGACTATAAGATAACAAAATATTTTACCTTTTCCAACAAATCAATAAGAAACTTTGGGAAATTCCAAAATATGCAAAAAGAGATACCAAAGTATTTTTACCTTTTATATTTATATATGAAGGTATATATATATATATATATATATATTTATATATATATATATATATATATATATTTATATGAAGGTATATTTTTGCATATATTTGTACCTTCATATCTATATATGCAAAAATATATATATATATATATATATACACCTTCATATAAATATATATATATATATTTATAGAATAAAATTATTAAAATAAAAAAATCTAAATAAATATTTGAAAGATGCACAAAAAAAAATATAAATTATGTATGTTTTTCAAAAATATACTTATTTTGTAATAAATATTTAAATCATCAAAATATGCTTTGTATAATTAAATCTTGATTTACAGATTTCAAGTCAATAAAAATGAAATATTTGAAAAAAAGAATAGCAGCATATAATATTTTAAAAATATCAAATATGTATTTTTTTTACCACTCTGTTTTCTTTCAGTAATTTTTTTGTTTTACAAGTTCAATTTCGTAACTAAAAAAATTGTTTTTTCTATTATTATTATAAGCTTATTTGTTAATTATAGGATTATGATTGAGTTTGATATTTTAAAATTATTTTAGCTTCTGATTTTTTCTATTATGATATGTATATATATATATATATATATATATCTGTATTGGAACTTAATTTTGACATTTATTATTTCTAAATTGTTTTATAAAACATGTTATAAAAAATACTCTAAATTAATACATTTGAATTGATTTAAAAAATATATAGTAATTTAATAAATATACAACTAAGTTAGAGTTTGGTTTCCTTTAGAAGAATACAAAACCATAGTTACACATTCATAATAATGTGTGGCTGTCTATTAATATTGGTAAACCGCAATTAGGTGACTCCGTGTCAAATTAACATACTTCATTCGTCGAATGTGGACAGAATACATTCATCTACAGACCGCTGCAGCCGCCAGAACGCCACATCCTGGATCCAAAAACGAGGGTCGCTCCTTGAGCTTGTGCTTTGCCGTTCCGAGGGGCGTTTGATCACAACTGCAAAGGCCCTTTGCAATTCTCGAGCGCATGCTTTGCTCGTGCTCGTGCTTTTGCGAGGTCGTCTTTCTCTTCACTTAAAATTGATGTTCAGTCGATTTTTTTTCATCTTCTGGTGAGAGAATCAGCTCATTAGCTTTCGCGATGGTTGTTGATTTTGATTTCTGATACGATTAGTGAAGAATTTCTTATTGATCGGAATACTGATGCGAGAATTGGAAGAAGGAGGATGTGAGACCATGATGGGTAATTTCAACTGGAGAGAATTGCTTTCTCTTTTATTTATTTACATGTTTATTTTATTTTATTATATGTTTTGCATGAATTTGAATAAAGAGATGTGGTTGTGGCCGCTGTCAAATGTAGACGGCAGGCGATGGTGAGGGGGCGTGTGGACATATGTTCGAAGAGCCGATGTGGATAGTTCTTGTGGCAGTTGATCTGAATTTCGTGATTGTTCCACCCTACTTTTCATCCCTGTCCTTGGCGTGTGTGGTGCTCGATCCATGGTGCTATGATATGAATCACAGTTTAGCAGATAAGATAGGAGTTTCAATTGCAAGCAAATTGCTTCACTTCCGAGAAACTATTCACGCTGCACTGCGAGAGTGACATAGATGCAGGACAATTACAATATTTATTTTCAGGAAGTTTTCTTCACAAGGAGCCGTTTGAGTCATGGAATCTTTTTAAGGATGTATCGTGAAGCACTGCAGGTATTGTAATCTCTGCATGAAATGACACCCGAGTTCTGTGAGCTATCAGGGTACTTCTTGGATCGATCAGTGTGCGTACTCTTGTAATAGAGTTCTTCAGAAACTGTGTGTAGGGGTACGTAGTAGTTGAAGAGTTTTTCGGTCATTACGGGATTGTTCACAAATCTCACTTCTACTTATTCACGGGATTTTAAGTTCGTGGCTTTGTTGCGTTGAATGTCCTTCAAAATGCTCTCCTGATCGCCACACTACACAACTGTTTTCGTTCCAATACTAATTTATGCATACCATTAACTCTCAGAAGTTTGTCTTCAATGTTTGAATGCTCGATATCTACCCTGATTATTACTCTTACTCGACCAATTCTTTGCTTGTAATTATCATAATTATATTTTTTGCTATATTATTTTGCCGCATGTGGTGTTGTTAGATCAACGCTTTTGACTCATTATTTTTCGAGCAGCATTTTTCAGTACTGTTACTGGCAAAAAATTCACTCATTGTTTCCTTACAGATTACAGGTCATTCACATTTTGTCTAGATTAGTTTACAGCTGCCGTTCCACATTCTTAGCACACTGTATGTTAAAACTACAATCTAAAATGTTTACTCTAAACTCGACGAGAATGTGAGTATCAATGAGAATTCTGTATGCTCGGGCATCCAGTTTATTCCCCAGTGGTGAACTCACCGCATGAACTGTTCTAGGATCAACTTTGATGTCAGCTCAAGATATACGTATCTTAACCAAAATAATGCTTTACCTGTATGTTACAGATCATTTCAACGCGTGGACAGTTAAAAAGCATGCTGTGTGTGTAAAATTCTTGATTGCACTCATCGGGATTACAGGCCACATGGCTGGACTTGCTCACGGTGCGTTGCAGAGCAATGGTCCCAGCGTTAGCGTTGTTACATTAAAAATTCTGCCGACACCTTGGCAGTTTGCTGTGGTTGGTGCAATCTTCATTTTGGTAATTATTGCGCGGCTTAGTTCCTGTACTGAGTATCTGCGGGGCTTGGTACAACCATTCGTGCTTCGACGTGTAGAAAGTGGGGTACCGGTAATTCTAGCAATTCAGGTACCATCTGCTCACTAATTCTGACTCAAGAGCAGCAGCTCTGCTCAAGCGAGTGTCTGTAAAAGCCTCTAATTTTATTGAAGATTTTTGCAAAGCTGACGGTGTTAAATAAAACAACAGGATTTTCGATTGTTGTTACGCACATCTGCAGTTTCGTGTACTCGTCTTTGCAAGGGTATCCTACAAAGTGGGAGCTAATATACGGATGCTTGTGTATTGAAACAGAACTCATTTTAATGTCTATTTTCCAGTACATCAGAGTTGATGGCAATAAAATTGAGGATTGTAGGTTTCTTTTTTTTTGATATCTGTTTAAGTCCGAACACTGCAGGAATACAGGCATTGGCTGTTAGATAATATTTTGGGGACCATCGCCACTGTAGTTTCTGCTCCATTCTATACAGTGCTGCTGCCTATGCTTTTTTGGGTAAGTTTTAGTTCGCGACATCAAAACATCTATCCACTGACAACTGTCATTAGATTTCACATTCCTGTCTTGGCCATACAGCTTACTATCAAAAAGAACCCTTTAATGAGGAAGAACAGTTGACATTATGGTAAAAGGTGCTCCTGCCATTGCAACTGCTGCAGTCTAGTCAAATGTGCTTCTAGCATTTATTTCTCCGCCATTTCCCTGGTGAAAGAGTACTTCCGAGTCCTGTTCCGAATAACTAATAAGAGCGAGGCGGGCAAGTGATAAAACAGATAAATCGACAAATTCCATATCCTGTTATTAGGATCACGGTTCACAGTGACGTTTTTACTGCTTTCGCTTGGTTGTGTCTCTTGCTGTTGAAAGTTGTGAATTGATTGTACGTTAAAAGAGATGACAAACTAGACCACAAGATGAGATGCGCGCCATTTCTTTTTCTAGGTGCTGTTTTCTCAGTGTAATTGAACAAGTGAGGATATCTAACGTGGAATCTGATATTCGTGTTTGTTTGACGTCCAGCATGGACAACCAAAGCTAGGAAGGCAATTGACGTTGTTGTTGGCAACATGCATTTATGTGGGCAATAGTTTCAAGGTATAATGCTAACAAAGCTACTAAAGCGCCTTTTAAAATGTATGATGAATTCGGGTGGTTCTTCTTTGCTGGAATTCTACTGTTTTGTACAAGTCGAAAGCCGAAGCATGTAGTGTATCTGCAGGACACTGTCTGTGCACCAAGACCACCAGCTCCTGTTTGCAGAATTGCTTCAATTGGATCTGAGAAAAAAGGTTCCGAAGAGTATGGACTGCCTTCTTCTCATTCCATCAACATAACCTGCTTCTCAGGGTGAGCAACGTAGCATGCTCCGCCTCTGCCTGAGTTGTCGACGAGATTCCTGTCAATTTATTTATTTATTGATTTATTTTGTTATTATGACATTAATGAAGTTGATCAAGATTCTTGATGTTCTGTATCTGTTCTTCTAATGAACTCAATAAATGACCAGAAAGAAACCGACGTATTCAAGTATTTATCGGAATAACCTGGAATCTATACTTTCTGCTCATGGTGTTCTGGTAGAACTCTCTATCTAAAAAACTAAAACTAAACCAGCGTGGCCATATCAGGTACATCCTATATTATCTTTGGGGCCAGAAAGTGGAGCCGGATACTATTTTCATGGCTTCGATTATGTTTACTACACTTGTAACCTTGGTTATTTTTGGTACGTTCAACCCCTTACACATATTATGTTAAACATTTCCGTCGAATGATGAAAGTATTCGAGAAGCAAAAGTAATACTTCAAACTTGTTATAAGTTAGATAGTACTAATTTGGCCTTGGATCAGTGATCGGATTTCCAGACAAGCTCTCTCAACTTATCCAGAATTTGAAATATCGTTTTGAACAATATCTATTTCTTGATGCAGGGAGATTGTACTTGGGGATGCATTCTCCAATCGACATATTCGTTGGATGTGCAATTGGAGCCTCATTACTCCTAGTTTGGTTTAATGTAGACTGTTATTTGGATACTTTCATCATTGGTGGCGAGTACGGTATGTAAATCGGGGTTGATGGAAATTTGCAGTAGTGTTCTCGACACTTGGATTTTATATAATGTGTTCCAATTTACATGAAATGGGATTGGCAAGAAATGCTCGAGACAAAATAGCCCTGAACGAAATATTTACCTGTTCGCCCTATTTTGTTGATGTATGAAAGGCTTTGTGCTTTTTGTACAAGTCATATCCGGTCATCTCTGTCAATATTGCAAATGGAGTGACAAAATTTATAATTGCTTGTGATGCAGTTATTCCATTCTGGGCAGCTATTTCTATTCTTGGTTTGTACGCATATCCAATCCCACAGTCGCATACTCCCTCCTTTGAGGATCATACCGCTTTCAGTGGTGTTGCTTTCGGCATTGTAAGTATGCAAAATTAATTTTAAAAAAATAGGCGTCGCTCAGCAAACATTCTGTTTATTTTAATTGCGACTATGATAGATGTTCTTTGATATGAAAATTTTGAAATTTCAGGTTCGTACAATTACTCCATCAGAAGTTCTTGTTTTCTGTCTCTAGATTTCCATAAACTGATTCGGAAAATTACTTTACTTGCCAATCCCACGCAGGTTGCTGGAGTACATCGAGTATTTCCACATTACCATTCTGCACTAGCAGCGTCAGCAGTGTCGCTTACCGTTGCACATGTGTTTACGAGAACGGCACTCGGCATAGTCACAAGCATTGCTGTCAAAGAAGGGAGCAAGTTACTTGCAACGCTTGTATTTCCTTCGATTTGTTCCGCGCTGAAATTACTGCTGGGATTTCGTTTTCATTCATCTTATTACATGAAGTCTAAGCGGACAGTTCTCGATGATGTGGAGGCCTCCAAAGACAGTACTGAGTTGCAGGCGCTAAACAGCAACGAAATTTTGAATGATATTGAGTCCAAAGGGCGCTGTGATGAGCCGCAGGTTCCAGACAGAAAAGAGGCGGTAGCCGGCTTAGGGGCCTCTATGACGTGGCGTGCGCTCAAGTTCAACCCTGAGTATGAGTCAATGGATGTCGATACTGGTATCAGGTTTGTGCAGTACGCTGCGTTAGCCTGGTCAGTTGCAGATTTAGTTCCACATATATTTTCTCTTTTGAATTTGTAAAAGACAAGCCCTACTCTCTAAGAAAGAGTTCAGCGAGGGTTTTTATAGCTAACATGCATGGTTTCCACACGATTTTATCTTGTAGCTTGCGTCCCCAGTTTGACCCAAAATTGAACGCCCTTAACGAATGCATTGTGAACTTAAAGACAAATGATGTCCAATCTCTAGTTAGATAGTTTGTATGAATTTAAACATTAGGATATGGCTTAGGAGAGGGATGAGCTGGAGAAGTTTCTCCAAATAAAGCAGAAGATTGAAATCTCTTTCTAGTGGGCCTAGTTCTTTGCTGATGTCCTTTTTCAACAGTTTGAAGGTTTTTGAGAAAAAAAGGCCAACAAGTGGTTTTAGCATTGATGACTTCAATAAAATAAAATAAAATAAAGTTATTTCAAAGATTCTTCAAAGTAATTTCTGATTTCCCGAGAGCCACCTGTGTATTTTTATAATGCTATGTATGTAATGCTCACTTTGTTTGTAGGGTTCCTTTAACATTTTTCTGTGGTCTGTTTTCTTCTTTTTATACCTTTTGTTAAAGTGTTGTTTGATGATAGCAAGATCAATACAATTGAAAGTTGAGAAATAATCTTTGATTTGTAATACTTTAACAAATTATAAACCAAAGAGCTAAACAAGAAATAAATACAATTAAAATTCAACATTTATATAATTTTTTTAATAAAATGATGAATTTATATTTACTATTATATAAATGTATTTAAAATAGCCATTCTAATCATTAGTGATGTAATATTTTATTAGTCTATTAATAATCAATATTACACAAGCTAATATTATAAATTTTAATAATTTTTTTAAAAATAAATAAATACAATCTAAATTTTAGGTTTTGAATATTTATATAGAATTTATTATCAACTGCAATTATCTTTAGTATTTGTAAAACATATTAAAATAAATCTTTTACATATTTAAAAATAATTTAAATTCAATTTTAAATCTTAAAAAAATCAACTATAATTTTTATCTTATAAATGCTTTAATTACTCTTTAGAAATCAAATTAAAAGAAAAAATTAAACTAACTTAGAATAAAAATTTAACATAGTATAATATAATACTTATAGTAATTAAAATCTTGTCTTAGAAGTAAATTTTTGAAACATTATAAAAAACACACTACTTCTTTGAGCTAATACAAAAACATTGATGAAGTAATAAAAATATTTCATATAAATGAACAAAAATCTATTAGTACTATTATTGATACTTGTCATGCATTCTAACTAAAGAGCAATGAACTTTGTGATAATAGTATGCAATTTATGCCTAGTTAGATGAAATATAAAATGATTAATATTATCAATTTAATTTTTTTAAAGATATAGTTTTATATATCCATGATAAAAGAATATTTCACATTAGACTAATAGATATAATACATTGTAATTTAAAATTATTTATTCTTTAAAACCACAACATAATAAAAAATAAATATGTTATTATTGCAAAGGTTTATCAAACTATTTATTTCTATTAAAAAGACTAAAATATTAAAATATCCCTCATAAATATATTATATACATTTATAATTTTAAAACACCATAATATTTTTTAATTAATGCATGCACTTCTTATAAAGCAAAAATACATTAAAATATTTTTAAAATATCTATTTTTTGTACAACATGCTAATCAAATTTGAAATCAAGCTTTTATTGTATAAAATTTTAAATAGATGGTTAGTTAGATTTTTGTTACTATTAGCTAAATTTTCATACAACAATAATATAAATATGAATATATATATATATATATATATAGGGCTAAGGATACAAACACATCCCAAGTTGCTATATATACACCCATTATATCTATACAAACATCAAAGACTTTTGATTGGTTCATCCACATCTCTTTTTTCTTATTCCAACATAGAACCCAATTCCTTCTTTTTCACCTTTCCTATAGTGTGGTCCCTACTTCCTTCATCTTTTTTTTTTTTTTTTTTTTTTTTTTTTTTTCCTCCTTGTGCAAGTTCCGTCATCTCTCTTCCTTGTCCAAACACAAGCCCCACTACCTTTCTTCTTTTTTCTAGCATGGATCTTGATCTCCTTGACAAGGAACAACTTCATACTAGATAAACCAAGATGCTATCACTAGATGAGCTGAGGGTGCCAAACACACTAGGAAGTATAATGTTGGTGAGATCTAATAAGATATGAAGGTGAAAAATGTGACATGGTGTAGCAATTGGTGATTGGATTGATGTTGGTTTTTGTGGGAGTTTTGAGTGAATTTTGCAAGGTATTGGTGGAGTGGGATTTGGTAGGAAAGGGAAGGGGGGGAGAGGGGGGGGAGAGAGAGACATTGATAAGATGAAGAGATGAGTAGATAGCATTGTGTAAAGCATAGGTGGATTTGGTGTCTCAGAATGTTATTGGAGCTATCCAAGATAAAGTGCATGACATAATAGGAGTAGCAAGCGACAAGGCCAACAATGCTAGCAATACAGGTGGAGAGAAATAGGAGCAGATAAAGCAAAGTACTTTTGATGTTGTTGATGCAATATAAAGCAATGAAAATGAAGCTAGAAGCATAGATGGTAAGAAATGGAAGTAAGCAAAGCACAGTGGCATTATGCCATGTAAGACAAGGCAAATAAAGTAGCATGAGTGGCTGGTGACAAGGCTTTGCAAGTTGGTGATGTGGCTGATAAGAAGTGGAATTAGACAAAACAAGCATCATCAAAAGCCACACAAACTACATTTGAAAACATGGTGGAGGCAAAGATAGCATTGAATAGCTTGATTACTTCATACATGTTTTATGAAAATACTACCATTGCATTGTTAGATTGAATTACAAACATGCCACAACAATGGTTTCTTCTCTGACAAAAAAATTGATTTTCAAATTTTTAGTTTATTTTGTATCTAAGTTAATTAAAGCCTACATATAATAGAGAGTAAAAAATCTATTTTTGCTTCTATATCTCCAAGATGACAAGCTTGTTAGAGTTGAAAACATTAGAAATAAGTTGATTTTTAGGGTCGTATGCCATAGCATGGACTGCAGAATATTGGATGCAAATGAATGTGAGATATTGTTAATGTGGTGAAAGGCACATATGCTTGCAGACAGAAAGAAAGAAGTGATTTTGTATTGGATGCTTCTCTCACCATTTAAATGTAAATGATTTGCCATTAAAGAGTGTAGGTAAATACATTCCTTACACATAGATCTAATCAGAGAGTGAGTAAATAAGAAATGGTTTTGGCCTTAGACAATAAACTTTACATTTTCAATGAATGTGTCCAATCCTTAACTACAAGTATCAATTCACAAGATCAGCCATGTACCATTCTTGGCCCTGTTGAAGACATTTCTGGACTCTGTTGAGATAAAGGACCTAGATAAATAACATTTGTCCATCTCTCCAAACTCGTATATATATCGTTCACAAAACCTGGAATAAACAGTGTGTGTGTGAGATTATTATCACCACCTTGCAGGAACATCGAGTATGTATATATCAGACTCTGACTTGAATTCAGCTCTTATGTTGACGTAACCTGTGACTCTTTCTCATGGTTGTTTATTTGACATGGTATCAGAGCATAGTTAGTTCTATTCTCAGAACCTGTACGCAATCTCATCTGTACCTCTTTGACTCTCTTCATACTTTAGACCTACGATGTCAAAATCTATCATGGTTTTCAATGAGATCAAACTGATAGGGTCCTCAAATTTCCATCTCTGGAAATATGTGACAACTCGAATCGTGAAACGTGAAAAGCTGTAAGACCTGCTCTCACCGCCTCCTCACAGTACCTCCTCGTGAAACAAGAAAGATTGAGACTGAGACAGTGAAGACTCCGAGGATAGGGCTGAGCGACTGATGTTTGTACTCACAATGTCGAGAAGACCAAATCTCTTTGTGGTGTTGACTGATTACCATGAACCTAAGCGCCTGTGGAACTTTCTCAAGAGGTCCTTCAAAAACACAGACGACAGCTGGAAATATGACTTGAAGAATTGACTTCAACTAATCATGTCCTTGGAGCATCTCGGGGCTGAGCACTATTTTTCCCAGTTCTGCCAAATCCTAGTGGAACTATTTGCCATCGGGGTCAAGCTAAAAGATGCTGATTTAGTTCAAAAATCACTTCCAGATTCTAACGACTATTTCCTCAGCCGTTACACAAGTGGAGGCGGCTATCCCACCTTCGACCAACTTCAATCCCGCATCATGCTTGAAGAAAGTCGTTGTCAAACAAAGCGTGGAACAAATCCCACCTCTGACAAAGCGTTGTATTACCGATAGAACCACTCTCGGGGCTCCTTCAATCGGCATACTACAAACCTCAGAAATCAACAAGGTCCATTCAATCAAGGTAACATCGGCTCTCTCCCTTCTTCATTTTAAAGATTTCAATGTAATTATTGTGGTAAACCAGGTCACATGAAACACATGTGCTCGGAAAGACTCTTTGACATGTGTAAGCTGGAAACTTGCATTCTACAGCTCACTAGGAAATTTGTGAGTACGATTCTCTTCCGCTGCGCAGATTTAACATCTGTAGGCACTTTATTTGGACAGGTTTTTAGGATTAGTAATTAGGGTTTTTGCAAATGGCTCTCTTACGTTAATGCTGTTCGTACTAATGGCTTGAATGACTCTGTGCCTCCTAGGTACGACTCCTCCATGGTTGACAGTGATCGAGGGGATCTAGTGGCCTCTCTTTGCAATCAGTGCCAAGGGCTGTCACTAAACCCTACCAAAGCGACAGGTAGGGAACGTCTTTCTGAGGGATTTATGCAATATTATGCTCATTTTTTTAAAAAAAAGAAAAAAACGAGTATAGGTACCATAGGAAGTTGTCGCCGCGGCACCTCGAAGACCATATGGTGGTGGGTGGGAAGCTCACCTTGCCACTCTTTGCGCAATGGCTCTGTACTTTGAATGCAAGTCTGGCAGGAGGCTCAGTCATGGCTAGTGATAATGCCGATAGGGGATTTTTTTTTCTTAAAAGCTTCCAGCCCAGAAGTTGCACGCCAACTGCCTGTGCTGACTCCGTATTGATCGGGTAAATCATTTTTTGTTGAACAATGCTTGTGTAGCCTTTGATACAACCAATGGCTGAAAAACAGAATTGGAAATTGAAAATCAGATTAATCAAAGATTAATTACCATCCTAGTAGACTATACCGATTTACCAATCAGGTGCAGACTCTGTCTCAAGGTGTCTCATAAAATCAGAGATTGCCCACACCAATCTGGAGCGGATCAACACATCCCATGAGATGAGCATCCCCCAGATCGCAATGTAGGAGGCCCTCGGCATAAGGTAGGTCCTTCCTCAATATATGCTGGAAGAGGAGTGCTCCCACAACAAGCACAACCCGATGCAGATGGGTTTGTAACAGTCGACGGCCGTGGTCACAAAGGGAAGCCATGGACATCACCACAGGCCAAGCTTCCCCTAGATTCGCATCCCACCATAGCTACTCTATCCAGCCTTGCAAAAGAAGTTCAATCCAACGTAGGCGACGTCAACATTCGTACTCCACCAACAGCACCTGAAGGTCTCGCTACCACACATTGCAGACTTACCACCCGGGGATGAGCCATTACATACAATGTCCCTTATAAACACTAATTCTAATTCTATCTCCTCTGCCTAAGTCTCTCCAATCGGCTCTCTCGACATTGTCGAATCCAAACCTACCACAGCAGCGCCATTTGAAGGCCAGCCTCCACTACCATTGCAGGCTTTCCTTCATCGAGCAATAGTTTCTCCCTCAGTAAGCCTCTATGTCAATGTTATTCAAGATCAAGCTTTCCTTCATCCTGCAATGGTTTCTCCATCTGCAAGCCACCATATCAACGTTACTCAAAATAAGACTTCACTGATGGATCTAATCGCATCCCCAGTACATCCTCTGCCTGCTTCAACGATTGGAAGGTAGACGCTCTCAACAAGCAGAGGACTCTTGCCCAGTTCCCATCACTGCAGCTGACATGCCAGAGCTAGGCGAGACTCCCTAGCTTGCATATCCAGCGAGCTCTTCTTTAGCGGCACAGCAGGCTCAAGCATTCACGTGAGACCATTTACCACACATTCATCTCAATGCCAACCCTGCTACTAACAAGGATGTATTTTCGGCCTCAAGCCCCTCTCCAAGTACAGTCAGAACTGCCCAGCAAGACTGCCTTGAGTTCAGAAGGCAATCCACTTTAAGATCGAGTTCTCCCAATTCAACGCGTAGTTGGAGCCGCAGCCGCAGCCCACCTCGAGCAACCAGTCGTATGCCAGGTATGTCCCAACGCCCTCCTTTTCCAAGACCTAACAGATCTTCTCGAGACTTAGACAGTCCTCTGAATTAGGGCACAGTGCACCAATGATAAGTATTAAATAAGTCACACTTAATATTTGGGGACTTAATGTTAGGTATAAAATAGATAGACTACAAAATTATATTTAGAGAATAGATGGGGGAATAAATATGATCATGATCCAGAAGCATAAACTTCAGGGAGAAAGGGTATATGAACTTGGCAAGTTACTATGGCCCCATTGTGGCCAATGGTTTACAGAAGCAATTCTTGGCTATAATATAGATGGCTCGGAGGGTCTTTCACTTTGATATCTAGTAAGCTTGCCCCACTTGTCACTAGCAGTGGTGTTATCATGCATAATTGGAGGCTTTGGATCTGATTTAATGGTCTCCTAGGAGATGATATGGGCATTCTCAATTTGTATGCTCCAAATTGCCCCAATGAACAAACTATGTTTTGAAATGAAATATCGTGCTCTTTATCACTAGATTGCTATTGAAAATTTAGTTGTGATTTTAATATGGCAAAAAAAATAGTTGATAAAATATCCTAGTATAGTTGCATTTTGTTGGTGGGAGAAAAACTTGCATGGAAACAACTCAAAAATCAATTTAACCTTGCTGACCACTTCTAGTTCCAAGACAAGCTATGTTTTTCATGAAACAACAAAAGAAAAGATAGAAGTAAAATTATGGTGCATTTAAATAAACATTATATCTCAAGACACATTAATCCTAGCTTATGGGAGGTTGTGTATAATTATAAAATTTTGGAAGACTCAACACTATTTGATTACTTACCAATTTGTATTGAGCTTATTTTAAAAGATGTAATATGCAATAGAAATTTTTACAAAATGAATACTTCTTATTTATAGGATTTACTTATAAAAGAGATGGTGAAGCATATTTAAGAAGCCAACTATTGTTCTTTGTCAACCATTTTTTTACTGAGCTTATACAATTTATGCAAAGATATAAGGCTTTTAGCAAATATAAAATGGAAAAATTTTGTAGGCAAGAAAAATCTTGCCACTCAATCCTCTACTTAGTCCAAGAATTATTACAAAAAGATTCCTACAATCCTAAATTATAAAGTTTGACAAAAACTTGCAATGAAGGATTCTTTATATTAGAAACTCATGAGATTGTAGAAAAATAGATTTGATTCAGACTTTGATAGAAAGTCAAAGATGATTCTATGACTTTGGAATATCAACATCAATACTAGAAAAGGAGGTCGGCCAACATCCAAGTAAAATTTAGGGACTATTGTCTATTTAGTATTTGTAATCTTTTTCAAATTTTTTATATTTATTGCTAATTTAGTTTTTGCAAACTCAAAAAATATTGAATCAAAATCAATGATTCAATCATAAGTTATTGAATTTTTAATCTATCATAGAGTTGTTAAGAATTTTTTTTAAAAAAGTTTTTACTAGCTTTTGCTTAGGATTGATTTAGGATTTGTTAGGATTTAGGACTTTGCTAGGATTTTATTAAAATTGGTCTTGGATTTAAGATTTCATTATAATTGATCTAAGATTTAGGATTTGATTAGAATTTGGCTAGGATTTAGGATTTGATTAGAATTAATTTAGGATTTAGGATTTATGATTTGATTAGGATTTGATTAAGATTTAGGATTGTATTATGTTTTTTTAGGGTTTGATCTAAGGTTTGATAAAGATTCATTAGGATTTAAATTAGAATTTTGATTAAAATTTAATTAAGATTTTATATAGAATTTAATTAAAATCTTAAAATTTATAAATTTACTTTTATTTTTTAAAATCTAAATCTACTAAATACATCACTTACTTTGAAAATTCTTCAAAACCTCAATATTAATCCAAATGACATAAAACTAAATTTTAAAAATCTCTTCATTTGTCTACTTCCTAATCTTGCTCTCTAATTTTATAAAAGAACCCTGTAATCTCCATAATTACATGGTTTTGTGCCTCAAGGTCTGATTTTGACCCGAGTTCACAACCAATCTTTTTAATATATTAATTTTTGATAATTTAAGATAATTTTTACTTAAAACTATTTTTAATTTTTTACTAAGGATGTCTATATTATTTATTTATTTTATTTACTTTGATTTGAGGTATTTATGCCCCTATAAAGTAAATAGAAGTCTCTTCTACAAAAGACACCATTAAGACTAAACTTTTTACTACCTTCCTCTCATTTATCCTTATTTTTGTATTACATTTTTTTTACTAGGTTCTTCTATACTAACATCCATATTTTTTTTTATTTTTCATCATATAGTTGTATTACCACATAACAATGACAATAGAGATAATAGCTAAAGGGAAGATCTTAGAAAGCTCTTTCAAACCAATTTTTTTTACTTTTAATTGAGGAATTAAAAAAATCTATGTTAACTATAGATCTTCGTTTGGCAATCAATTATTTGACTACAAAACGAATTTTTGGACCTGATGATATAACACTTCAATTTTTTATAGACTATTAATAAATCATTGGCTGAAATTTTACATAAATGGTTATAATTGTAATTAATCAAGGAACATTTCTAAAAAGTATAATCTGAGGCTTTATTACTCTTATTATAAAAATAAAAAATAAATGTATGCTTAATAATTAGAGATCCATTACTTTGTTTAATGTGTCATATAGAATCTATGCAAAAGCATTACAAAAGCAACTTCAGGATCATCTTGATATCATTATATTTTATAATCAAAGTGCCTTATTTCTTACTTATTTTATACTAGAAAATATTTTATTAACACATAAGACTTTGACATGGACTAAAGAATCTAAATAAAATTTTATTTTTTTAAAGTTGGACTTTTTTAAAGCATATGATAGAGTATCACAGATATACATACATATTCTAGTAAATACCTATATGATTAGATAGAAATAAATGAAAGTAGATAAAAATAGATTAATTTCATAATATCTTTTAGAGAAGCTTTTTAGAAGCTTCATAGATGTTGCTTTGACTTTACATATGTTTGTAGTTGATTTGTAGATTAGAAACTTAGTCAACAAGTTAACCATATATTAATAGCTTACAAAATAAGCTAACTATGTGGTTTGTATATAAAAAACTTGCCTTGCAAGTTAAGATATGTGCCTTGTAAAGTCAACATATTTTGGAGGTCTTATAGGATATTGCCAAATAATTCCTAATTAAGAGTATATATGGAAGCAATAGTGAAGCCTTCTTCATTCTTATTAATGCACTTTTAGTCCGTAGTTATGTTTTAAGACTTTTTAGTCTGATTTTTTTTAGCAATAGCTATTCTAGTTCAATATTATATCATCTTTGAGTAATATTTTAGTACTTTTTAGTGATAAGAGAGTATATTGAGGATTTTTGTTCTTTGAGATTCATGTTCTTGATAATTTGATAAGAGTGCTAACTTATTGTTTCTGTCTTATTTTAAAAGTGAGTGGATTATTCCACTTCTATTGTTATATTTTGAAAGTTGCGGACTACTTTTTTTTAAACAAAAAATCTTATTTTTTAACACTGATCTTTTCCTAAAAGAGAGTGGATTATTCTTCTTTGTAGAAATTTTTATTTGATATTAAAGGTTGCAGATTATCCTCTTCTAATTTAAATTTTTGAATTTGTTTGAATTTTCTATGGAAGAAAAGATTATGAATGCTTCTCTCAACAGAAGTGAAAATAAATTTGTAACTATTGCAGATCTTTATGAACTTATCAATTCTCTAAGAGTAGAAATCTCATGTATTTTAAATATGAATCATGGAGGTACTATGCCTACATCTACATAAGAAGTTCAAAGTCTTCAATAAGAAGTTATATAATTGAAGGAAGTAAGTAAATCAACCTCACAACCAAATCCAAAGTTTTTTGGTTCTATAAGTATGACAAGAATAAGTATTAGTATGTCTGAGACATTTGAAGGAAGAAGATCAAAATTTTGAGGATTTTTGCAATAAGTCAAGCTTTATCTAAGGTTACATTCCTTCCAATATCTTGATGGATTTATTCAAGTCGGATTCATAGGCACACTTCTATCAAAAATTATTTTTTGTTAGTTTGTACCTTTAATAAAAAATGATTCATGACTCCTTTATGATTTGAATTCATTTTTAAAAGTGTTTATGGCCACATTCAAAGAAAGTGATCAAAAAAGAATAGGAGAGACCAAGCTCTTATTTTTATAGTAAAGATCACGATTAGCTACCATATATGCTACTGAATTTCAAAACCTTACTTACGATATGGATTAGAATGACAAAGTCCTTATCAATCAATTTTGATATGGATTGAAGGATAATGTCAAAGATTTGTTATTGATAACTTTAGAACAATTTATTACTCAAGCTATTGCATACAACAATTAATTATTTGAAAGACATCAAGAACAAAGACTTGGTTGGAGAGGAACAAGTCAAATAATGATGGCAAATCCTATGTTTTCAAAACTTATTCATCTAGGCCAGAACCAATGCAAATTGATACAATATGTTTTAAACTCTTCATGAAGCAAGAAAAGACTTGAAGATGTCAAGAAGGCTTAAGCTTATATTATAGAGAAGCTAAACTCATTGTTCAATATTATCCAAAGAAACAATGCAACTATAAAATGAAAAGCAATTTTGCCAAAAAAGACAATGTATTAAAAAATAAGTTTCTCTAGCTACAATAAGGATCGTGTGATTGAAATCTTATATAATTCCTAGTAAAGGTCCTATTTTCTCTTTAGATCCTTTACCTTATTTTATAATAGAAGTTTATTTGTGACCAAAAAAATCACAAAGTCTTAGCTTTATTAGATTTAGGAGCCTCAGTTTGTTTTATAGACAAAGATTTTGTCAAAATATAAGAGATATTATTAGTCAAGAAAACTAAACTAAAATATATAGAAGTCAAAGATGGTTGTTTGGTATCTTCTAGAGATGTTATACATGGGACTGTTCTTTTAGATTTAATAATTAAAAATTATAATAGCATAGTAATATTTAATATAATAAGATCTCTATTCAATCTGATTATTTTAGGATTATCTTGATTAAAAAAGTATAATCCTTCAATAGATTGGATTTTTTATAACTTTAATTTTTTTAATAGTTTTATCTAAAAATCCGTTAGTCAAATAGAAATACATAAGTCT